AGCCCAGATGTAAGGACGTTCAAGGAAAAAGCTATTTGCCTTTACGTGCCTGCCTCCAGATCTCACTGGTGAGTTCTTCTACCTGTTGCTGCTGCTCCTGCAGTCCTTCCCTGATGTCAGAACCCAGCTTCATCAGGCTTCCAACTGAAGACCAGCAGCTCTCCAGGAATCCTCCAGGCCTTCAGCAGCAGATTGGGACAGCTGAGGCATCCACTCTCCAGGACTGAGCAGCCTCTTCCAGTGTGAAGGCAGCCATACTGGACTATTCAGCCTGCATCATCTAAGCCAATCTAATAAATATCCCCTTTCTTTTTTATTTTTATTACATGTTATTTATTTATTTTGGAGGGAAGAGTGTGCCATACTACTCATGTGGAGGTCAGGGACAACTCTTGGGAGTTGGTTCTCTCTCTACCATGTTGTTGTGGGCTGCTTTACCAGAGAAGACCACTCAGACAAAGTTTTGCCGATTGAAAGTCTTGCTCGCCAGTGGCTACACAAGGGTGCTGGAACTAAAATGTGTAGCCCCCCGAGCCATCTCTAGGGTAAGCTTTATGAAGAAAAAACATAACCAGGAGTGAAAAGTTTAAGTTCCCTAGCTTACAGGTGCAAAGTCCCTTTAACAATTTCTATTCTATTAAACAACAGTTACTATTTTGCAGAAACAAGCCAAGCATAAATCTGCAGTTAGCAGGTGCACTCCAGGACATGTTGACCTGTTTCCAAGACAACTGGGACCTTGCTGACCTGTGTTCCCATACCCTGGGCCAACTGCCTGATAATTTCAGAGGCTAGAGTCAGCCTAACTTTAACATGGCATAGCTATATTCAAGAAGGTGCCATATCACATTGTAGATTCCAAGGATTGAACTTAGGTCATCAAGCTTGGCAGCCAGCACCTTTACCCACTGATCCATCTTGCCAGTCCACATGCCCTTCTAATGTATTTGCTCATTCTCTCTGTTCTGTTTCTCGAGGGCCCTGACTGACACAGCAAGTAAGCATATACAAGGATACTCACCGTTCTGTGTCACTAGTAGATTACAAATTAAGACAAGATGTCTCTGGGCATGGTGGCACATGCCTTTAGTCCCAGCACTCAGGAGGCAGAGGCAGGTGGATCTCTGTGAGTTCAAGGCCAGCCTGGTCTACATAATGAGTGCCAGGCCAGCTTGGGCTACAGGGAGAAACTGTCTCAAAAAGACCAAACAAACAAAAGGTAAGATGCCGTTACAGGCTCAGATTTGCCAATGGCAAATGCTGGTGACCACATGGAGCAGCACGACTTCTCACTAATAAGAATGCAAAACAGCACAGCAACTTTAGAAAACAGTCGGTGGTTTCTTGCAGAGCTAAGTGTACTCTTAACATACACTCCAACCACCGTGTTCGTTGCTTTCTGTTCAAATCTTATGTCTATAGGAAAACCTGCACGGGGATGCTTAGAGCAGCTTCATTTACAACTGTCAAACTTGGAAGCGTTTGTCCTTCAGAGGAGGGATGACTGCATGGTGGGGCATTCAGACAGTGGGATGTCATTCAGTGTCACTGGGAGGGGCTGGGGCAAGGGCAGTGTGTAAAGTGCCTGTTTGGTAAGCATGAGGACCTGAGTTTGGATCCCCAGAATGTAAGTAAGGTGTGGCAGAATGCCCAGTGTGGGATCGGAAGGATGCAGAGACAAGAGAATCCCCCATGCTCAACGGACAGCCAGCCTAGCCTGATTGGTGAGTTCAGGTTCAGTGAGAGACCCTGTCACAAAAAATAAGATGGAGAGCGGTTGGGGAAGACACCCAACCTTAACCTCTGGCCTCCACATGCACCCATACACATACCTGTGCACATAAATGTGCACATACATGTGTACACATATGAGCAACTACACCTGCATATACCACATCTGCACACAAAGAAGTGAGTGGGGTTGAGGATGTAGCTCTGTGGTAGAGTGCTTGCCTAGCATGTTCAAGGCCTTGAGTTCTCATCCTGGGAGGGGAAGGGAGGAGCGGGAAGGGCTATCAGACCATATGGTTGAGGCAGAAAGATTGTGAGTTGTGAGTTCAAGGCCAGCCTGGTCTAAATAGAGACACACTGTCTCAACACACACACACACACACACACACACACACACACATACGCACGCACGCACGCACAGAGAGATAGAGCAAGAGCGAGAACAAGTGAGAAAGAGAAGAGAGAGCCTAAATATACACTGCTAAGTGAAAGAAGTCAACCTGCAAAGTTTAGATAGTCATCATTCAGCACTGACACAGTAATGTAACAGTGGTTGTCAAGGTCTAGGGACAGGCAGCGATGAGTCAGCAATACACAGAGGGTTTCCAGACCAGTGAAATGACTTGGTACGACACTACATTGATGAGTATGTGCCATGACACATCGTGCGTAATTGTGTTCTGTGAGTCTATGAACTCATGGAATGTACAATGCTGAGAGTGAATGTAATGTGAGCTGTGAACTTTGGGTGATAGTGATGGGTCAGTGTGGGGTCAACAGCATAGCAATGGGCAGGAAAAGACAGCTGGGCTGGAGAGATGGCTCAGTGGTTAGGAGCTCTTGCTGCCCTTGCAGGGGACCTGAGTTTAGCTCCCAATATCCACATAGGGTGATTCACAACTGCCTGTGGGAAGTCAGGGCAGGACTCAAGCAGGACCTGAAGCAGAAGCCATGGAGGAACGCTGCTTGCTGGCTCACTCAATCATGCTTGGCTAACTTTCTCACACTGTCCAGGTTCTCCTGTCTAGGGATGATACTGCCCACAGCAATTATCAATCAAGACAATCTCACATAGATATGGCCACAGGTCAAGGCAGTTCTTCAACTGAGGTGACTTCCCAGGTGACTGTAGCTTGTGTCATGTTAACAATAAAAACTAACAGGACAATCTACCCCTGGATCTCTCGATATCTCTCTCTCTCTCTCTCTCTCTCTCTCTCTCTCACTCACTCTCGTCTCACTCTTTCTCTGTCCCTCCTGCCCCCAGTCACCTTTTTGTTTATGAGACCAGATTTCTCATTGGCCTGGAATTCACAAATTTGCCTAGGCTGGCTGCCATTGAGTCCCAGGGATCAGCCTGCAGCGCTGGGATTACAAGTGTGCACCACCACCCTGACTTTTTGGGTGGGCTCTGGAGATCAAACTCAGATCTTCATGCATAGCAAGCACTTTACCAACTGAGATACCTCCCCAGTTCCCCATTCATTCATTCGTTCGTTCATTCATTCATTCTCTTGAGTTCACCTCGAAGCGTCCCAGGTTCTTTGCACGTTACTATGTTGAAGGAGCCAAGCTCAGTTCCAGCCCCCGTTCCTGTTTCCAATATCTTTACCAAGTCCTTCCTGCTGGGCCACTTGAAATGCCCAGTAACTCTGAGGCTTTTGCTTCCAAGGAGGTATGAATGCTCAGCCAGCATGAACTCACCCCCACCCTGAATGCCACATGACCTCACAGAGACAGTGCAAACAAGTATTAAGACAGACCAGCAGCAAATTGAATAAGAGTTGTCCTTTTTTTAAATTGGAATATCACATAGGACACAATAAATATTAACTTACTAAATCCTTAATCATTCCATAAATATTAACAGACATCTTTCAGGATTAAATAAAAGTATACACCTATTTTTCCCAGAGCGAACTGGAGGACTGTTCTTCAGTAATCCTGATATTTGAATTGAATCTCAGCCATTTGATGCTTTCCGCTTGTCTAAGGTGGTCATGGAGCACTATGCATGACATAACTTTGCCTCGGAAGTTTAATGACACTGAAAATTTAGGCTATTCCAGGCACAAAAAGACAAGCTCTGCATGATCTCATTCATACATAGATTATAGAAGAGGCCGACCTCATAGCAAGTGGGAGTTGGGGGGCGGGCTGCGGAGAGTAGCAGAGCACTGAGGAGAGGGTGAGCAACGGGTGCTAAGTTGAGCTGAGATAGGAGCAAGACACTTCGGTGTGGCGTCACTCAGCGAGGGAACTACAATGATTTTGTGTTGTCTGTCTCAAAAGGCTAGAAGAAACCTTGCGGTTGATGGGGCACACCTGTAATCCCAGCACCTGGAAGGCAGAGGCAAGCACATTGGAGGTGCAAGGTCATCCTCCACCACACAACAAGTTCAAGGGCAGCTTGGACTACTGAGACCCTATATCCACAAACAAAGGGGAGGGGAAGGGGGAAGTAGCTCAGGTTGGTAGAGTACTTGCCTAGCATGCACAAAGTCCTGGGTTCAATCTCCAGCACCTCATAAACTAATCAAGACAGTGCTCAAATGTAATTTCAGCACTTAGGAAGTGGAGGTGAGAAGATCAAGAATTCAAGGTCATCCTTGGGCATATAATGAGTTTCAGGCCAGCCTAGGCTGCCAGAGACTGCCACACATACATACAAGAGGATGTTGAATGTTTTTGTTACATAGAAATGGTTTTTTTTGAGACATGTTCTGTGTAGCCCTGGCTGGTCTGGAGCTTGCTTTGTAGACCAGGCTGGCCTCAAACTCAGAGATCTGCCTGCCTCTGCCTCCTGAGTGTTGAGATTAAAAGTGTGCACCACCACACCTGGCAGTAAGTGATAAATATCTGAGGACATAGATGTGTTTAATTTAA